AAGAGAAAATGCTCATTTTACTAAGAGGAGGTACTCTGAAGACAGATACTCTAGGGTCTAAAGTGAGCTTTACTTCCTATTTACTATGTGACCCTAGAAAAGTTATCTAACCTCTATGAGCCTCGGCTTACTCATCTATAAAATGGGGATACTACTACTATCTCTCTCAGAGAATTGCTGTGAGGTTTAAAATGAGGTAACATATTATTTAGAACATTGGCACATGGCTTATAAATGCTATTTTTAATTTTGAATTTTTATGACGCTTCTAAAACATCCAGTTAGCTTTTTGGACAGGTAGGATTGAATACCAATCTGAGCCAGACTTAAAACCTGGGGAATCACTAGAACATAGTTGGACGTTAAAGCTAGAGAAGCAATTGAGAGCATTCACATATGTGTGTATCAATACATATAGATGTATATGTATATGAGCTTATATACGTGTGTATATGTGTGTCCATATGTATGTATAAACAAAAATGATGACAGAATGGGACCAAGAAAAGAACATAAAGAATAAAATAGCCAAGAAGTAAGAAGAAACACATGAAGAAGATAGAGAAAGAACAGTTAGAGGTAGTCAGCGAGCAAGGAGAGGATGGTGCCTAGAAAGCCAAAGGCAGGAAAATTTTCAAGGAGGGAGTGACCAATAGAGCCAAGCAATCAGGATTGGAAAGAAGCCACTGGACTTTGAAATTCAAAGATCACTGTCAACCTTTTGAAGAACTGTGAAAAAGTTGAGCTGTGAAAGGTAATTTAGGAAACAGAGAAAACAAGTATGGATGATTCTTTTAGAGACTTAGACTATAAAATGAAAAAGAAAGATGAGAAGCTACTTTGAAGGATAAGTAGGATCAAAAGAAGGCACTGTAGTATGGGGGAGACTTGAGAAGGCTACTCAGCTGAAGGAAAGTCAATGAACAGAGAACATATGAAGATATATGATTTATTGTCTATTTCTTGAACTACTGAAGATAATAAAACTCCTATCACAGGTACAAAATATATGAGCTAGAAAACTTCTGTGAGAACTTAATAACCTCTTTTGGAATCCAAAAAGCAGGGGTGTGGGGGGGAGGTATGTAGTTATTATTTAAAAATATAATTAGCCCTGTATTTTAACAGAATTACTTCCTGAGACTGTAATAACATTTTGAGAAGTCTCAGGATACTACAGAAATAGAAAAGTAATTCTGTTAAAATACAGCACTCATTTCATTCTTTAAACAACGGATTTTAAACTTTTGTTTTTCATTCTGTATTCTGAATATATTTTTGAACTTTTAGATATTTTTTTTCATCCACGTGAAATAATCCAAATAAACAAACTCACTTCACAATTCTTCTGAGAGTACCAGGCTCTGTATATAACAAATCACTAACTTTCGTACCTCATTAAAATAGGAAATTTCAAATTGTGATTTGCATATGTTTGCATCTATAATCAGTATTCAACAATTTCTTGAATACCTAGCAAGACGTCTATGATCCTTCCATGTTCCTTGTTAAAAACTTGCCACTTTTATCATTCCATTCAGTCCAGCTTCGTGAAAGCTAGCAAATGTCATTCCCACCTCATTGTGTGGGCTGAGCTATTCTATGACAGGGGTGTCATTTAAAGGTCAGACAATAGAGTATACAGATGTTGGCATCACATAGACCTGGCTTCAAATCATAGCTCTACCTCTCAACAGCTGTGTGATTTTGAGTGAGTGAGTGATCTGAGTGAGGAATGAAAACTCTGAATATAGATAAAACACTTAATTCCTCCTAAGCAAACTCTGCAAGACAAGTACAAACTCCTACATACAACTAAAAGTCAATGAGATTTAGTTAGGTAAGCCCAAGCACAGGAATAAGAACAAAGATTTCAAGAAGTCATCTTAAGAAAGACAGTTTCCAAACCTTTCAGTAGAGATGTTAAATTTTATTGAAATAAATTGTGTAATAAGAAGTATATTTAAAAAAGGAAAGCACTGAAAGGAAATCCCCTAAGCATTAAAAAATGTAATACACTGGCCATAAAAGACACATCATAAAAGTCTATCCGAAATGCTCATCATAGCTGGAGTAGAAGTAACAACAAATTTCTTCAAGTATTTGGAAAGGGATTATAGTTTCGTAACACTACAGTATTTTCTTTGGACAAGCCAAATTATCTATCTGCTGTAGTTTGAAACTCTGGTGAAAACAGGTAACTACACTTAACAATAAAATTAAAAAGGGGAAAAGAAACTTCTTGTTTTTATATCAGATAAGAAATTTTAATATTTAAACACTCACTACTAAATAATTTCATAAAATAAACATGGACCCATGTTCTCTTTGTTGAATGACACTACAAGGGTTTAAAAAATATTTCAGAAAGTGTTTCCCATGGTACATTAAATGCTAAACACTGTCTAAAAGAAAGAGATGGGCACCACAGACTAACAAACCTGGCATCGAATTTGACTGTCCCACTTACAAGCTGCGGCACCTTAGACAAGTTATTTAATCTCAGCCTATTTGTCTCATAAGCACAATGGAGATAATAATAGTACCTACATAGCGGAATTGTGAGAATTAAACTAGATAGTATATGTAAATTCAAATGTTTAGTCCAGGATCTCACACGATAAGTGCGGTCAATAAATAAGAGTTCTCATCACTAAAGAACAATGTTATCTTTCATAAAATGGCTCATGTCCTGAAACCATCTAAGAAAAGATAGCAAATTTTGTCATTTTCTAAAGAAGACATATAGGCTGGGTCTACACAGGGCTATGAGACAGACCATGACCTAAGAGTTGCAATTCAATCCTCCCTATTCTGGGCAGTGAAACTTCTGAATGCTGTGTGAATGGCACAAAAAAAAGAGATGTGTTTAGTTTTCTTAAATTTCTACAACGAGCCCACACAGACTTCATTAACCCTCAGGATAATGGCACTGGCTGAACTGTTTGCCCTCTTGCCCTAATTAATGCTAAGGCTTTAATTTCCATGGCTTATTACAATAATTACTAAATTTCTATCCAAATATTTATGATCATCATATTTATAATAATTCAAAGTACTTTTCCTAATTTTAAACAAATAGTCATTTTCAGAGACAAAACCTCAGCTTCTATGAATGACCAAGCAACAGGAAGAATTTCATTTTTTTGTTCCCTTCTATTTAAATGCTAGCTAAAATGGAGTTGGTGTCATACAAAACCAGTACTCTAAATATAACCCCGGAAACTAACTCACCTGTAATTGCAAAGCTTCATGGTTTTCTAATCCTTCCACAATTGGTGAAAATCGTTCTCTGTTATTTCGTTCTGCTGCTGTAGTTATAGCTCCTAAAAGTTTATCTAGACTATAGAAAAAAAAAATAGAAATGAGAAATACATCGTACACATACTATATGAATATGGGTTATCCCTTATACAGTCTTCCCTGTTTTCTTTCTGGTGCTTGATGTTTTCACATAGACCACTACAATTTAATAATTGTGTTCTTGTCCACATATTTCTACAAGGCAAATGTTGATAGAGTTAAATAACTTTAGGGCACCAAAATGAAAAGTTGATTTGAAAGTCTTGAGGAAAATAATTTTTCTGGGTGACATTTTTAAAAAATATACTTAATTGATAAACATTAAAATTTTAAGTTTCAGGTTTTGATATTTCATGTGTTAACATAGATATTAATGTCACTTAAACGTGATATGGCATTTACAATTATTCAAAGTTTATTCAAGTGTAAACAGACTGTAATTTTATAATAAAGTGCTGAAAAGCATAAATATTTTTTAAAGAACTTAAAAAAAGAACCCAGGATTCTTTGAAAATGGAACAAGGAAAAAAACCTAAAAGAGAAAGCCCAGTAAATTAGAGAAGCATCTATAATTACTGAGCACAAGAAACTTATTCACCTGAACAAAAATATTGGAAACTATCTCTGTACAGTGTCTGAATCAAATTAACCTCTGTGTAGTATACTACTATTATCAAACTATATCTGAAATTATAATTAACTCATAAAATATACCAGGGTAGGGTGCATTATATGAATTAAGTACTGAAAACCTAAGTCTAGAAAAATATTTCTTACTTGTGTATAAACTGATTTTTCTATAAAACCTAAGGAAGGAAGCCTATCTGCATAAGTTATCTCATGCTCAGTTTATTCTCACTGAGATAAGACTTAATGTTGTGTGATAATATTTTTGTTCAGTGTTTGTCTTTTGGTTTCGAAGGATGAACCAGCACTAAGCAACATCTCATTTTATTCCAAGAGGTATGAGAAAGTCAACATATTAGAAGAATCCTAAATCTTTGCCTGCCCCATTCTAATTCAAACTGAAATGATTACTGCCACACAGAGTGTTCAGAAGAAATATTTTAGTTCATGTCCGTAGCAGGTATTACATTCTTTATCTCAATGGTTTCTTACCAACTGGTTATCAAATCTGTAATTTTGCTTCTAACTCAATATTATTTCCATAAGAAGAAATGATCTAATGCATAGTCAGCAACAACTTGCTGAAATTGGCACTTATGTGCACTCTGAGTAGTTACCAAACAGCCTTTTGTTCTTTCCAACCAATTAATTTCATTCCATTAATATTGCTTCATCTTTTCACTTACCATAGGCAGAAAGGATGCTCAACATCACTAATCATTAGAGAAATGCAAGTCAAAACTACAATGAGGTATCACCTCACACCAGTCAGAATGGCCATCATCAAGAAATCTACAAACAATAAATGCTGGAGAGGGTGTGGAGAAAAGGGAACCCTCATGCACTGCTGGTGGGAATGTAAATTGATACAGCCACTATGGAGAACAGTATGGGGATTCCCTAAAAAACTAAAAATAGAACTACCATATGAACCAGCAATCCCACTACTGGGCATATACCCTGAGAAAACCATAATTCAAAAAGAGTCATGTACCACAATGTTCATTGCAGCTCTATTTACAATAGCCAGGACATGGAAGCAACCTAAGTGTCCATTGACAGATGAATGGATAAAGAAGATGTGGCACATATATACAATGGGATATTACTCAGCCATAAAAAGAAACGAAAATGAGTTATTTGTACTGAGGTGGATGGACCTAGAGTCTGTCATACAGAGTGAAGTAAGTCAGAAAGAGAAGAACAAATACTGTATGCTAACACATACATATGGAATCTAAAAAAAAAAAAAAAAAATTGGTTCTGAAGAACCTAGGGGCAGGACAGGAATAAAGATGCAGACATAGAGAATGAACTTGAGGACACGGGGAGGGGAAGGGTAAGCTGGAACGAAGTGAGAGAGTGTCATGACTAATATATACTACCAAATGTAAAATAGATAGCTAGTGGGAAGCAGCCACAGAGCACAGGGAGATCAGCTGGGTGCTTTGTGACCACCTGGAGGGGTGGGATAAGGAGGGTGGGAGGGAGACACAAGAGGGAGGAGATATGGGGATATATGTATATGTATGGCTGATTCACTTCGTTATACAGCAGAAACTAACAGAACATTGTAAAGCAATTATACTCCAATAAAGATGTTAAAAAAATAAAATAAAATTATAGTACAAAATAAAGCATCTAGTTAATTCAGGTAAGGAAGTCAAATTTTGTGATGTGCATGTGTGAGGGTGTATGTTGTGTAGGGTATATATATGTATGTGCCTGTGTTTGTGTTTAGCCAAAATTACTCCCTAACTGACCTTTTCCCACTTTTCTAATAATTGCTTTACCTTCAACTAGACAAAATTCTATTCATTCACTTTGAATATCCAACTCTCCATTAGGATTCTATCTTTTTAAACCTATTTTTCAAAGAATCAAAAAAAGCTAATATCCAAATAGATAAGGTAAAAATACCAATATTTTTTCCTAAAATTTAATACTATTTTCATGCAAGTTATCAAAAGAAACAGCACAAAAGTAGGACTTGTTAATTTCTCAAGTGTCATTTTCTATACAGTTAATATAATAATAGAGCAATACGTACATGTTCTCTTCTCCAACAATACAAATAGCAGAAAGTATTTTTACTATTTCAGTCATCATGTTGGGTTGTTTGGGGTCAACTGCTCTTGCCAACAGTAAAAGGCTTCTTTCATCCCCTAGAATCCTTTGCAATCCAAACTGAAAAAAATTTTTAAAAATGAACTTTCATTCAAAATGTTTTTGGAACACATCTTTAATTTTAAAAAGCAACTAAACAATGATTTTCTAAAAACCAATACCTCCAAAGTGAGGTTCTATTTAATTAGATGAATGTTCTTCAAATGCAGTTGTTTATTTTATTTTATTTTTTTTTTGCGATTCGCGGGCCTCTCACTGTTGTGGCCTCTCCCGTTGCGGAGCACAGGCTCCGGACGCGCAGGCTCAGCGGCCATGGCTCACGGGCCCAGCCACTCCGCAGCATGTGGGATCTTCCCGGACCGGGGCACGAACCCGTGTCCCCTGTATCGGCAGGCGGACTCTCAACCACTGCACCACCAGGGAAGCCCAGTTGTTTGTTTTTTATTTGAAATGACTGCATCTTGGAGTTTTGGTCCTTTGGTCAGATATGATCTCCATTAGCCTGCCTAAAACTTCCATAAAAATTTGGAAGAAATATGGGAACCACCAATATTTTCTCAACAAAGAAGAATATGTAAAGCACATACTGATATGATTTTCTAAAGCAGTTCTACTTATGTCACTGGGTCTCCCTGGAAATGTCTGGAACTCAGGGTTAAATTCTCCAATATGTTTGTATGGAAAACTAAGTTGAACAAAAAGGGTAAAACATTGAAAAGCTCTTTTGTATACTACATGCCAGTTAAAGAAGCAGTAGACCTCTGTATGGATTTTCCTATACCTTCTCTCTCTTAGCCTCCCTCATTCAAGCAGTTGTGCTGCATTACAAAAGTTATGAACAGAAAGAAATGGAGCCTGGGTTTTACTAAGTGTCACAGTCAACTAGGCAGAGAAGCCAGACACCATTTTCATTTATTTTCTAGGCTTGAATATATGCATGCAAATGTGCATCATAAGAATGACTAGGTAAAAAAATGTTGAAGAAAGCCCAAAACTCAGGTTTTCACTACATGAAGAAGGTAATATTTTCTTTGATCTTTGTCCCACAAAGTATTTCTCAGATTTCTTATGAAATATGTTTGCTTCTTTTTACAGTTTACCAGTGAAATCCAACAACATTTCAGTGGAGCAAAATTGCCATTTCAAGCTATCCTTTAGTTAAACACCACACATTTGAATATTTTCATGGTTCCTAATTTATCTTCTAAAAGAATTCAGGACTAAAAAAAACATAGCTAAAGCTCTTAAATATGACTTTACTCAAGGTCATAACAAATAAGGAAATTTACGGAGACAAGACAAAAAAAGGAAATGGAAGAGACGATATTAAAAAGAAGCAAAGAAAAACAGAAGGACTATGTAAGTATAAAGGTAGCCGGTAAATAATAAGTACTAAGGAAAATAAGTGATGTGGAAAACTGAGAGAGATGGTTACCATGCTTAAAATAACTTTAAAAATCAGTTAGACTGAGAGTGAAATCATTTAATTTTTCAAATTTCCATTTTATTATTAAAAGTAGTTTCTAATGTGTAGGGACATACACAAAATAAAAATGAAGATATGAGAAATGATGGAAAACCATCAATCTAAACATCAGAGCAATATTACAGCAATGGAAGTTAAGGGACAATGGGTTGCTTTTTATGATCCTATTATTACATGCATTGTATAAGCAAAAAGAGTTTTTGAAGTAGGTAATCAAAACTCCTCAGGGCCAGCAAATTTCATGTATGAGTTATTTCAGACGAAAGTTTCATTCTTTGATTATGACAATTCACTCCAACACGAAATGGATATTTTACTGTATATTTTTTTTATTTTGAATGTGTACTTTATGCCCATTGTTTCACACGCCTATAATTTAAAAGACCTACCATTTACTCATGTTCCTAGGACCTATGCGCAAGACATTAACATGCTCTAACTAAAGGCTAATCTTAGTATAGAATAATCTAAGTTAAACTATCATGTTTTACACTGTTATTGGGAATGTAAATTGGTACAACCACTATGGAGCACAGTATGGAGGTTCCTTAAAAAACTAAAAATAGGGGCTTCCCTGGTGGCACGGTGGTTGAAAGTCCGCCTGCCAATTCAGGGGACGTGGGTTCGTGCCCTGGTCCGGGAAGATCCCACATGCCACAGAGCGGCTGGGCCCGTGAGTCATGGCCAGTGAGCCTGCGCGTCCGGAGCCTGTGCTCCACAATGGGAGAAGCCACAACAGTGAGAGGCCCGCATACCGCAAAAAAAAAAAAAAACTAAAAAAAAAAACTAAAAATAGAACTATCACATTCCCCAGCAATCCCACCCTAGGCATATATCCGGAGAAAACCATAACCCAAAAGGATACATGCACCCCAATGTTCATTGCAGCACTATTTACAATAGCCAAGACATAGAAGCAACCTAAATGTCCATTGACAGAGGAACGGATAAAGAAGATGTGGTACATACATAAAATGGAATATTACTCAGCCATTAAAAAAATGAAATAATGCCATGTGCAGCAACACGGGTGGACCTAGAGGTTGTCATACTGAGTGAAGTACGTCAGACAAAGACAAATACCATATATCACTCATATGTGGAATCTAACTGAAAGAAAAGAAACAAATGAACTTATTTATGAAACAGAAACAGACTTACAGGTATGGAAAACAAACTTATGGTTACCAAAGGGGAAACGTGGGAGGGGAGGGATAAATCAGAAGCTTGGGATGAACACACACAGAAGACTACTTTACATATAAGATAGATAACCAACAAGGACCTACTGCATAGCATAGGGAATGCTACACTGAATTCTTTTAGAAGATAAATTAGGAACCATGAAAATATTCAAATGTGTGGTGTTTAACTAAAGGTTAGCTTGAAATGGCAATTTTGTTCCAATGAAATGTTGTCAGATTTCACTGTTAATACAGAGTAGTACTAACCCATATGAGAAAAGAATCTGAAAAAGAATAGATACATGTATACGTATAACTGAATCACTTAGCTGTAAAACTAACACAACACTGTAAATCAACTATACTCTAATAAAAAAAAAAAGTCATGTTCTTCAAAACTGCCAAACTCTTAGGTAATAAATAATTACGTATGAACATATCAACTTCTGTCTCGTGGGAAAAGGCTCTACAGGAAATGTCACTTTCTCTAGTAACTATACTGATTACAGTTATATCCTGGAAAGCTGTAAGAGTTGACTACTCAAGTCAGTAAGAATTTAGATCAGAGTCCTAATTTTACAGGTGAGGGGACTGATTGGCAGAGAGGTCAAATGATTTTCTAAAGGCCACACAACTTAGTGGCAAATCATGGACTATATTTCCTGATTTCTAGTACTGTGTTGTCTTTCCTTTATTTCTTTGTTTCCCTCAATTGAAAAAAGAGATCCATCTTGAGCTGTGGAGAAGCAATGTTCATTAACTGCTTTCTTGTTAGGTATCAGATTCTGCATAACTTTGTCACCAAAGACTAAGAGCTCAGAAGTTCAGAAATTCTGTACTAGTACTGATGGAAATCTTTCTGGAAGACACTTCCAAGAACAGCACAATTAGTATATTCTATACAGGAGACTCATGTCAATTGGCAAGCATCCATCTGTTCCACATGCCAAAAACTTCTTTGCTGATACATGTGTGTATAATATACACATAATTATATATAATCCCACACACTTAAGAAAGACTGCAGATTACTTAAGTAGATAATCTTACTGCATTGGCTATTAATAGCTATATTTTACTTCTGGCAAGTTTTGGGTTATTGTTATAATTAGTCATTTTTAATTAATATTTTGAGATTATTAAAACACCATCTAAAGGGAATTATTCAATTAGTGAATTAGTCAGTGGTATTTTACCTATAGGAATATAGCACAAATCATGTATAAGAGAGTAACAAAACAAGTTTATAGAAAAAATGACTTTAACTTCATAACCTGAGCAAAGACTACTTTTAGAAGAAAAACCCTTGTCTGGCATTCCTAGAGTCCCTCATAATGCAACTGGTATCACACAGGTACAAAAAAAACCCTGGTATGTGCCAGAAATGTCTTTTATGTATGTTAACTCACTGACATTAATTGAACAAAGAAAGAAAGAAAAATCTTAACCTTATAACATTCTTAGCAAAAAAAAAAAAAAAAAAAAAAAAAAAAAAAAAATCAAATCATAGCTTTGAATTGTCCTTTACATTAGAATAAAAACTCTCTGTAAGGAAATGTTATTCAACCTATCCCATTTAAATTTTCCTACCACCATGGAAAAACAAGAGTATTATCTGATTTGGGAACAAGACTTGTATGTTTGCATGATTGCAAAAACCTGCCAATAAATATTGTGTGAAGCAAAGTATATTTTAAATGATATTTAAATGAAACTCATGATGATTTGCATTATAAAGACCCTTTTGAAAACTGAGTAAGCATCCACTATTTTGCCTGTTTCATAGTGTCTGTTGGGCAAGTTCTCACCTTTTGCAACAGAGGCAGAAATAAATACTACTTGCCTTATTGTTCATAAATGCTTTGAGGCACTGAATAAGTTTATACTGATTCTTCTTGTCAATATTTTCTTGCCTGAATAAAAGGAAGAAACATATTATGCTGTGCTTAAAAATGTCCCCCGTGGTGATTTTTTTTCATGTTTATTCTTACTGTTTCTTGTCCAGAAGCTTTTCCAGCACATCCAACAAGAGTCCAAGACCTTCATGGCCAAAGTTGTTAACCCAGCTATTAAATAAACAAGAAAAAAAAGTATAAATAAGTTTATATAATTAAAACATTAAATATCCCAAATTAAATTTTGATTTTCAGATCTGTTAATCCTGTCTTTATATTGCTTGTCCTTCTTTTTTCCACTCCCATTGCTTTGAGTATTGACTCTATGGGGATGACTCAGAGATCTTTACCTCAATCCCAGACTTCTCTTCACATTTTAGATTGCCCATTCTACAGCACTGCCTTGGTTGTTTCACCAGCGTCGGATACTTAAACCTGAATTTATAAAGCCAAATTTCTCTTCTCCTATGTCTCTGTTCTCCTAAATCAACTCCTCTTCCATATTCTGATAATACTACTACTATCCCTTGCATCCTTCAGACTTGAAACACTGGCATAATTTCTTGATCCACCACCTCTTTCACCTTTGCGTTTATTCTGTTCATTCATTTAACAAATATTTATTGAGTTCCCACTAAGTACCAGGCATGTTCTAGGTGACAGAGATATAACTGGCAACAAACTAAGCCCCTACCCTCATGTAGCTTACCATCTACTAAAAGGGAGACAGAGGATAAATAAATAACTATATAATAAAATGTCAATGCTTTGGTACTATGAAGAGAAATAAACCTTGGCAAATGGAATAAGGAGAGCCAGGATGTTATTTTTTAATGTGTAGTCAGAGAAAGATTATTTGATAAGGTGATATTTGAGCAGAGCCTTGAAGGAAATAAGGACTTTCCTAATAGAGGGAATAAAAGCAAATAGGGCGCTGAGGTGGTAGCTAGTGTGCTCAGAATGTTCCAGGATCTGTGAGGAGACCTGTGTGGTCACAGCTGAACAAGCAGGCTTGGAAGCAAGAATGGTAGGAGATGAAGTCCCATGTGTGACAAAAGACTTGAAGACTGATCACAGAGAACTTGATTTGATTTATTGTCATGACCCTACTCTACTACTACTCTACTTCTAGAATGACTCCCTTTCATTGTCTACCATTCTAATTTAGCCCTAGTTACCTTTCCTTTAATATGGCAGAAGCCTCCCAACTAGGGTCTCTGCAGCATCATTCTTTTCTTTTCTTCATTTTATAAAATGCCAGATTACCACAGTCTTCTGTCCAAAAATTTTCTCTGGACTATTTAACACATTTCAAGTCCTGATTCTGATCAAGCCTCAACCTACCTTTCTAGCCTCAGGCCTTAGACCACATGTTCCAATAAAAATCAGACATATTCTCTTTCCTGGAGTCTTCCCTGCATTTCCCTGCTTGACCTCATTTTTCATTCTTTCTTCCCAGAAGGTAACTCCAACTCCATCTCTCCCAACCCATCAAGGCTCAACTTGACTGTCAATTCCTCCATTAATGTTTTTTTCCTGTAAGTCCTCCATCTAAATGCATTATTTTCTCTTTGAATGCCCGTGTTTGTGCATCTCTTACTACTTGACATTATGATTCGTACCAGAAGTGTCTTTACCCACCTTTCTGGATTATAAATTCTCTGAAGACTGTTATATGATCTCACTCATCTTTCTGTCTCCCATAATGCTTAGCAGAATGGATTACATATAGTCAACACTAAATATTTTCTAATTAAAATTTAATTAAATTTACTGACTTGTGTGGTTAAGAGAATCAGCAGAATCATATTGCCCAAGAACTTTACAAACGTAAATTAACATACAGCAGGATGCCTGTGAAGCAATAATTAAAATCTCTACATATTTAAACCATGACTATAGATCAATTCCACAGGTTTTAAATCACATTTCATATCTACCTAAGGTAAAGCTTATCAACAAAGAAGAGACCTAAATTTCTAAGAGACTATCAGTAAGAAATAACAGATCACTGAAGAAAATACATTTTAAAAATAGCTCAAATATTTGGAACCAATCACATCCACAATATATATGGAAACTCATTTTTTTTTTTTTTTTTCTT